TGTCAGGGGCCAGAAGCTCCAGTGGGCGACTCCTGCCACAACCAGTAAAGACCTCCCATACAGAAAGGCTTGACACCTCTCACCACACACACACACACACACACTACACACTACACACACATACAACTCTCCCTGGTAAACACATACATATATTCATGAGAAGCCCAAAAAAAAAAAAAAAAAGGTGTTCAGAAGGCCACAGGCAAGAGGGAGAAGCTGTCATTTCATCTAAAAAGTGTGTACAATAGCGGTGGAAAAGAAAAAAGGAGGTTTGGGGTCACGCGCTTTGTTATTGCGATCTTTTCATTCCATTAAACAGCAGCTTGCAGCAACATGTGATATCAGGTGGAAAGCAAATGTGGGGGAAACTTGAAAGTTGGTCATTTTTTTCTTCCTGTATTTTTTGCGTGTTTGCTTTTCGCTGGTGTTGTTCAATGTCCTTCTTGTTTGTTGATAAGTGTGCCAGCCAATGAGGCAGTTTTGGAGTTTGCTGTGAGGGTGGTAGCAGTAAAGAAGTCTCTGTGTGTCTCCATGTGTGGGTTTGGTTTTCAAAGCTGAAAGAAGGCAGAGAAACGAAGCGGCAGACGAGCACGCACGAGAGAAGCGGCGTAGTGACGTGTTTATCACCTTACACCCCCCACCGCGCCGTCAGATCAGTCGCATTATCTCGACCTGATAACAAAAAAAACAGCGAAACCTCGACGCTGCCAGACGTAGCACGAAGAAGTTAAACTCTGCAGCAGCGTATCATATTCTCCTCTGCGTGCTACTGCCACAGGATAAATGATTTACCTCTGACCCAGTGTGTTAACATTCAAAATGGTTTCGAAAATTTTAAAAAAATTCCCTTTTTCCTGTTAAAAGCGGAGAGCAGCCTCACAAAAATAAACACAGGTTTCATCTGACAAATAACACATTTTTATCCTGAAATTACTCAACGACACACCGAACATTCCTCAATCAAGTTTGTGTTTTAATAAGAAATAACAAAAGTACGATTTAATTTTGCCTTTTTAAAAAGCTGTTAATTCGTCGGTTGCTTTCAGGGGAAGGTGCTTCATTGTGTCACGCGGTTTTTAAAGGAGAAGAAACACAACATGCACACGTCGACTCGTTTAAGCACACACACATGCCACCGTGCTGCAGAAAGCACTCGATCCTCGCTGCGTTACGCGGCGCCTCTGCCAGCATTGACTCATTGAGGAAAAGGAAAAAAAGATTTCATCCATTAGAACGTCATTCACTAAAGCTGATGAAGCGTGCCGTATCTGAACAGCTCCCACTGGCATGGTTTTCTTTGCTGCTCGCTAATAGTTGCCTTGCATCACATGCTTCACTGAGCTGCCTAATATTTCCTTCAGCAGCGTATCATCTTAAAGATGGAGCATAGCGGTGGTATTTGTTATGGTGTGAGTTTGAATACACTTTGGCTCCACTGTGCGCTATTAAAAGAAACGGAGGGGGACATAATGTTTTAAAAATAGCTGATAGACGATGACAGTCAATACTTAGAAAAAAAACTGGGAGGATGACAAGACGACAGCAGTTTGCAAGTTTTGTCTAATAAAATGTGGAATATTTTACTGCTTCTTCTGTCACAGCAGCAAGAACTGTGTCATTTAAAACCAAAATGTGTGAACTTCTGTAGGACTTGTTGCTCTCACAGCATTACTAAAGTCACTCTTTCTTTTTCAAACCTCTTTTTTCACAATTAATCCTCCATCGAATTCATTAATTACAACAAATGCACCACCAGCTGAGTGTTTGTATATTCCTCTCTGCATCTCTCTCCCCCTCCACTCTCTTTTTTTTTTATTTTCTTTCCTCCCTGTCTCCATCTTTCTCGCTCTGATTTGTCTTCCATCAGCCTCCCAGTACCTGTGCTGGAAGCCAGGGAGCTGTCCCATTACTTATGCATAGGTATCATAGGTATTCATGTGTGTGCATGGGATAGGGCGCATCCAGAGCAGGGGCTAGGGCCCCGACATGACAAACAGGGTGTCAGCAAGGCTCCGCGGGACCCATTAATATGCCGGCAGCCGACAGGGATCCTCACCTACGCACGCTTAATATTCCTGTATATTAAACAACCATAAATCAGAGGATATAAGCACTGAGGGCTGTGTGTGTGTGTGTGTGTGTGTGTGTGATGTGTTCGAGTGGCTGTGTGTAGAGAAACTGTGTGTGCTAGAAAGATGCAGTGTGTGTGTGTGTGTGGTTGTCTGTGTTGGTACATGTTTGAGATGTACAGGGCTTCACCAGATACGTTCAGGGGGATGAGGAACAGGGTTTTGGTTGGGTCACTCTGGGAATTTATGGGTAGCATGTGCAGAAAGTTGTGTATTTGTGTGCTTACAGATATTAAGGGAGTGTAAAAACAGCATCCCCCCTCTTTTAGCCTGGCTTTGGCACCAAAACACCCACTGCTAACCCACCACATCCCTCAGCTCGGATCCTTTTCACACCAATAGAATGAAGTTTAAATGGGGGGGAAGAAAATAAGTTACTTGTGATGCCTTCTCTTCATATTTGAAATTTCTTGTCAGATCACTTTTTTTTTTAGAGTTTACATTTTTCAGTTTCTTTTCGGCTTCCACCTTTGTCGGTGCACTTTCCAACCAACTCCTACCAATCAAGCTTTGTGTGCAGCACTGTTCTCTGTTTTGTTCTTGCACTTTCTGTAGGTGGCTGTCATCTACTTGCTAACTTTAACGCCACACGAACCACAAACATCACCACAGAAAACCGCTACCAGTGACTTTAGTTTTGTAGCAGACACTCTGGAAGCTTTTATGAAAGGACATTTTTAATAATGAGACTAATTACTAAGTGCAGCAAACTTACTTAAGCTGTCTTGTTTAGATTTTTTCCCATTTAAACATATTTTTAACCCTTTAAAGTTATCTGATTGGGTTCCTTTTCTCATCGTGAGCTCAATTTCCGAAGCATCCAACCCATTAGCATCTCTCCACCTCAGTCAAACATTCGTCTTCTCCCCCCAATACACAGGCATGCGCCGTCCTCCTCCCCTCTTCCCCTCCCCCTTTCTATATTAATCTGTGTTACATGAATGCAAATCACCTTGTTTAATTAGAGACAAAGAATCTGTATGTGTGTCTGTGTGTGTGTGCGGTGGTAAGACCTACACCCCCCAATCCTCATATTCATGATGTGATGTGGGTCCCTGGGTCCGAGGCAGGCAAGAAAGGCAGTCAGGGCCTAATTTTGTTTTCCCAGTAGGGCCAACTATTAGTTTCTCAGCTCATTAATTACGCTGTTGTGGAGAATCATTAATAGTTAAAGTCGCCCTACAATAATGTATAATGGATACATTTGACGGGGCTCCTGATTTTTTTTTTTTCTTCTTCTTCTTTTTTCATTTTTGATCTGTGATCAATTTTTTAGCGGCCGTGATAATCCCCGAGCCTGGGTGAACGGGCACTGCACGGAGCTGACCTCAAGCATGTTGGGAAATCTGTGTGTACAATCACTGTGTATAAATTACGCACCATTTAAGCCGTCAGGGGCTTTCCAAGGTGGTGGAACGTCTGACTCGCTCCCCTGTCTCTCTCTCTCTCTCTCTCTCTGTGATCAGGACCGGTGTGTGTGATGTTTTACCGTGTTAGCCGTTCTGTGTTGTGTTTTTTTTTTTTTTTGGCGTGTTGTCCGTGTGTGAAACGGTGAGACAGTGTGCTGTGTGAGTGCGAGCTGAGCGTATGTGTGTCTCCCCTCTCGGCTCCTCTCGCTCAGATCAGTGACAGACACTTTTTGTGACGGAGGTCATTAAAATCGCTCCCAAGGCAGCTTGCCGTGTGTGTGCAGTGTGTGTGCAGTGTGTGTGAGTGTGTGTGTGTGTGTGCGCCTGTATGTCTTTGTGTGGGCGTCTGCCCATCTTTAGCCCCGAACTTCAATCCCCCCCTCCACGCCCTCTCCACACCCCCTCTTCAATTTTCTTCCTCTGTTCTTTCATTCATCCGTCAAGACATCACGAGTTGGAGTGGACCCAGGCTGACTCACTTATGCTATCTGACTATTCAGCGTGTATGAACAGGTCAAATGTGTGTGCATTTATTTGCATGTTCGGTTAAATATGAAGGCTTCATGAAAAAAAAGACCTTACTGAATACAATGAAACATGAGTCTGTAATACTCTGGAATGTTGGTATTAGTGAGTGTTTTTCTGCTGCATACAGTCCCAGACGTCCTTTAGCTCGTTGCACGCTGGGCTCGGCGAGCCTCGTCAGAGTAAGAGGTAATTAAGTATGAATAATTAACACCAGTGCCCCCCAACTGAGAGACAGCAGAGCAGCTTCCCCATGGCAGCAGTCAGCCAGATCACACATGGTCCTCGTAGTCCACTGTGTGCCCAGTTCGTTCATTAGAAATACCAGCGGCACAGACTCGTTGTGATCCTCACCACGGGATCCTGCACCGAGGGGGGAGGGCAGGGGGCACCATGGGTATATTTGTTTCATCAGAAAAAGAACCCCAATTTGCTTATTGTCGGGTTTTTTTTTCAGCCTTTAGAATGTTACAGAGAAAAAGTTTCTGCTAATTGACAGCGACATTTTGAAAGCTTTTCAAAATTGCATAATCAGATAGCATTTTTAAAACACGGATTTTGGGGAAAAAAAAGAACTGACGTTGTCTTTGAGTTTATAGCAATATACAGCTTTCTGAGGAGAAGAGTTTGTGAGTGTTAGGCAGAGATAAGCCGGCTGCACAATGATCATTCAGCAGAGTGCTTCACAGAAGTTTTAGTTTTGGGTTAATGAGTAACAGTGCTATCTGTTAGATCTGTGGGGCTTAAGAGTCAACAGGTAAATGTCAAGTGTAATCACCACAGGAAAACCTTTGCCCCACATACAAGTTATAAACGAGGAGTTCTCCACAACACCATGCATGTGTCCATGTGTGCATATGCATACATGGACAATCTTATGCTCTAAAATGTTGAGTATTTAGTCTGAAAATTGTTTTTAGCTACTTCTTAACCAATGTCAGTCACTTGCTCTACTTGGCAAAGTAGTTTTAATGCGGGTTATGAAACTTCTGTTTGTGTACTTGATGGGTTTATCATGCTAGGTGAAATAATGGTAACAATGCTTGTGTAAGAAAAATGTTAGAAGTGGATGGAAGAGATAAAGGTTCCCTTACTTTAGAGTTAATTCTGTCCTTTTCTTGTCTCCTTCTCCACCTGCCTGCCTGTCAGCTGTGCGGGCGGACCGCATGCGTGGCGGTCGCAACAAGTTCGGCCCAATGTACAAACGCGACCGGGCCCTCAAGCAGCAAAAGAAGGCGCTGATCCGAGCCAACGGCCTGAAGATCGAAGCCATGAGCCAGGTGATGCAGGCCGTACCCACTGACCTCACAATCTCCTCCGCCATCCAGAACATCCACTCGGCAGCCTCCAAGGGCCTTCCACTGAGCCACCACGCCGGCCACCACGCCAGCCACCACCACCACCACCACCATCACGCCACCGCCCTGCCCCCCACAGACTACGATCGCAGCCCATTTGTCACTTCGCCAGTCAGCATGGCGATGCCGCCGCACGCCGGCAGCCTGCAGGGCTACCAGGCGGCCTACGGACACTTCCAGGGCACACGCACCATCAAGTCTGAGTATCCAGACCCGTACACCAGCTCGCCAGAGTCCATCATGGGCTACGCCTATGTCGACGCCTACCAGTCGGGCTCGCCACCCAGCTTCCCCCACCTGATCGTAGAGCTGCTAAAGTGTGAGCCGGATGAGCCGCAGGTTCAGGCCAAGATCCTGGCGTATCTACAGCAGGAGCAGGCCAGCCGAGGCAAACACGAGAAGCTCAACACCTTTGGTCTGATGTGCAAGATGGCCGACCAAACGCTGTTCTCCATTGTGGAGTGGGCACGCAGCAGCATCTTCTTCCGTGAACTCAAGGTGGGTGCGCATGGTCCATTCAAGTCACGCTTTGTATGAATGTGAAGAAACATTTATTTTTCCATATATTTCAGAAATAACAACCGTGTTTTCATCGTTTTCACGGTTTGGGCCATCATTCCTATCAGTTATGACAGCGTACTACTTAAGCTTTAATTCTATTTGCAGTAAGTCTACACGCCTTTAATAAATGATCCTGCATTTTGTTCCAGTCGTGAATCTTTCACCACGTTGTCATCCATAATTGACAACACTTTACACAGCTCCTGAACATCATCTGTTCAATCCTTTATCTTCAGCAGACCTTTAATCTCTTTTTTTTTTTTATGCTGTGGCTCAACACTAATGCGGTGTGCATAAGGCTGAGGATGAGGGGGGGAGCGAGGCAGGGTCTGCTCATAGCTGCCACCACTGTCTGTCCCGCTGCCTGATCAAAATTCAGCAGCCATTTGTATTTACTCTGAGCATGACACATTTTTGCTATGGGTTTTGAAAACTTTGACTATGAGCTTCAGGCACATTTCATCCTAACAGGGCTCTAGTCTGAGGGGTTTTATGTGAACTGAATACCGTCCCTCTTGAAATATTCCTCAGATCTGTTTTGGCGCAAACTGTGTGATGATAGGAGCTATTCTCACCATTTCACATCGAAGATAAAGTCACAATAGCAGCAAATTGTCTATTTCATTTCAGATCTCTTTAACCTTTAGGTAGTCATGATGGACCTTCTTTTGAAGCATCTTCACTGGGCTTATGCATCCTGCCAAGTCCCCTTAAAAACAACAAAATCAAACCCATTAAACACCGCGTCCTTTGTGACTATTTATCACAGCCAATTCTAAATGACCAATGGTAACCGCCCACCGTTGCCTCACTGTAAAATGTGATAATTCCCGCTACTATTCATCATCAGAGCCCAGGGGAGAGTTTCTGGTGTGTGTTTGTACGCTCGCAGCTTTATTTGCTCTGAATGAAGGTTAATGTTCGGAGCGACATGAAAGGCATTTGATTAGTCTGTGCTTCACCTGTTTTCCTTCCCCTTGTCTGATTCCTTTTTTCTGTTTGTTTCACTCCACATCACCAAAGGCTCAGCTGCATATTCATGGGCCCGGGCCTGTTGAAAAATCCCTTCCAAATATTTAATATTATTTTGCTTTCAAAGGAGGGGGAGGGAAATAACAAATGAAATAAATGTAATATTAAAAAACCGAGCCAATTACAACACGATAAGTGTCCTTGAACAACACATGTTGACATTTAGCACGCGCCCTGTCCCTGCTGTTGACATTTTTGAGATCTGTATTTGCATTCACCTCACATGCACGGCGCACACACACACACACATATGCAGACACGCACACAAAGGCTCATTGTAGGGTGTGGCCACGGCTAATAATTGTGCGTGGTTTGCCCATTAACTTTGAATGATCATTTATGCTCCATTGTGAAGCCTCTCTATTTCTCACACCCTCATCCTAATTCAATTATCTCCCCCACTTGTGTTTGTCACTCCCTGATTTGCTGCTGAATGAGCCGTCATTATGTTTACCTAATGACTACCCATATTTCTGGAGCTTAACAGTAATTGAGCCGAGTGCCTGTTACAAAGGTACAAAATAACCTGGGCTCAATGCAGGAGAAACCTTTTCCCTGCATCCCCAACCGTTCCCAAAAAAAAAAAAAAAAAATGTTTAAAAAAAAAACTCTAGTGCATCTGTTGTACAGGCCCCACTAGTTTTTGGGGGAGGGAGATAATAGAACTCCCCTGTTTTTAAAGAGTCATCTAAAGCACAAGGGGGTTTGCCAAATAATGCGCTAGCTGTGGTTCTGACAGTTTTTCCCACACACCCCATAGTCGTCCCTTCCTCGCTTGTTTCTCATTAGCAGCTACCGGTGAGGACTGCTGAGCAAAGATTAGTGTCGGAGACGGAGAGGAGGATATGCAAAGTTAGCCAAACTGATCAGCCGCCTTGATTGCCCGATGCACGCATCAAACACGTGTTTAAAGGAATTTTAAAGGCTTTTGAGTGTAAAACAGATTTGGCTTCAGCTGAGCTAACGGCTTTTAGCTGGAGAGCGAGTGATTTGTGCAGCGTGAAAGTGCTGATATTCTGTTCTTGTGCCGCCTTTTATGTGTTTGCTACTGTGCAGTTCAACAACAAATTGTGTAGAAAATCCCACCCACGACCTCTGCCCTCTTCACTTTGTCTCCCCGTGGATGTGCCTTTGTGAATTTGCTTTTGTCTGTGTGTGTGTGTGTGTTCCACAAAAGCATGAATGCTAATGATTTTATCTCCATAGATGCTAAAATGCATCCGTCCCCATACTGAATCCAGTGAAACTACCCACCACACATAGCAGTGTTTTACCTCGTTACATCAATTTAAAATGTGATGTTTTTATACATTCGCCTGACCTCCGACATCGCCTGCTAATATAGATCTTAATATTAGATGTGAGGTCGAGACGGGGTCCAGTAAGACAGGAAGCCGAGTAGAATTAAAAGTTTGTCACAGGAGTAGTGTGCCGCTGTAGGAAGTTATAAATACACTTTCATCTCACACACACACACACACACACACACTTACCCACATTAAGACATAGACACCAGTCACACATAACACACAGCCCCTCTCACTATTATTAGCGCCGTAAGAACAAAAGAATTTCTCTGGTAATGGAGCCAAGCTGGAAGGGTGTGTGCGAGGCGTCTGCCAAAAAAGTGTTTAAAGATTTAGTTTCCATAAGTTGGCCTCGGTCACGGGACTCATAAATATTTAGCCATTAGGAGAACCTTCTAAAGAGCACTCCCTATTCTTTTCCATTGCGGCACACTGCCTCGCTTTTCTCCCCCTCATTCCCTCTGGGAATGAGGCATGACGTGAGGAACATTTATTTCTAACACCTTGTTGGGGTGGGCTCTGGTTGCCAACCTGCCTCGGCTTTGATTGGTTTAACACATCGACAATTAGAGTAAGGCCGGTCTGGTGCGCTGGTTTTGAAATCAGCGGGGTAAAAAAAAAGTGGCGCGATGAGGGAAGGTTTTTGGCAGGGTTTAAGGGCACCATCACTTGTGGTTATTTTATGAAAATTTTAAGTGAGTTGAAGACAGGTGCATGTGCGAATGTGCAAGTGTGTGCTCACGTATGCGGGCTTACGTGCCGTTAGAAATCATTTTAATACGTGTGTGTGCTAAGTCTATTCAGCCTTTAATGTCAGATTTTGAGGGTCTGTTTGCCAACATATTAATACTGTTAAAGATGCAGCTGTAGGTCTTTTTATTAATGTGTGTATTGATATTTTTTTATATTATAGATTGTTGCTCGTGTGTACAAAACCTTGAGCCTTGGCTGAACGTCTTATAACTGCCAGTAATTTCCTCTTTAGAAACCGCAAAAGTGTCTCAGAATAGTTTGATGTCTGATGACCATTCTTTTCTTTATCCCTGAAAGATGTGCATTTTGCAGATGGTAGCGCGTTTCAAGAAATGTTTCATAGGATCCACATATCTTTTTACACAAATAGATGTAATTTTAGATGTATTTCAGCATGCGTTTGAGTTCAAAAGCGTGGATGTGCTTCACGGTTTCTGTCTACAATAGTGTATTGGTGCTTAATCCACTGAAGAAGTGCATCAACTCACACATGTAACCCAGAGTTTGAGTGTGTTCAAAGGGGGAGAAACAAATGTGTTTGTCTCTCAGTGACATTTGCTAGCACCGGGCTGGTGCTCTGCCACCCTCCCCTCCCTCGGCCTCCCCTGTCCTGCCATGAACCCCTCCGCCTGCCCGAGTGCCAACTGCAAGCCAGACAGATACAGTATGTGCATGTTAAAGAACAACTCCAGTAAAAGATGCTTTCAGGTTCTATAAAGAGAGCTGCTGGCAGTACTTAGTCTTGAGTTTTTGCTTGTATTGTAGCCTCAGTAAACCAAAAGCTAGTGCAGCTGCATGGATACAGTGTCAGTGTAACTGTCAGGCACACTTGTCAGACGGCATTCTGGGAAATGTAAAGGCATGTAAAGATAAATTAAACCACCGTTGTAAAAGATAATATTGTAACGGAAGTAGGAGCTTGTCTTAGGAATGGTTGTAAAGTACACAACTGGGGTAAATTATCTGACTTATAAAAGGGTAACACATAGTTTGAATTACTGGTTAACAAAATTTTAACACTTGATCCGTTATAAAAACTATGAAAGTAGGGCGCCGCTATCGCTCACCTGGTTGAGCTGGCGTCCCATGTGAAGGGCTACAGTCCCAATGTGGAGGTCATGAGTTTGATTCCCGCTCATGACCCTTTCCCACATGTCCTTCTCCCCTACTTTCCTGTCTCTCTCTGACTAAAGCTATCCAATAAAGGCCAAAAAAATAACTATGAACGTAGCTGTGGTAAAAACTCCCCTTTTAATCTTCCTGTTTGTACTGAATAAGAAAGCTTGACTGAGCTGTGCTTGCATGCGTATTTGTGTGTTGTGTCCATGTGTGATTGTGACTCATACCTACCGTAGCTGGTCCTGTGCTACCGTCTCCTCCATTGTTCCAGCGTAGGGACGGCTAACCGGACTCCCACCGCCAACACAATGGGAAGGAGAATTTAGCGGGGCGATCGGGACTATTGATGATTCACATGTTTATATCTTACCTTCCTAACTGTGCTCCCGTCTCACCACAGCCACCCCACCCTCTTTCCTCTCCGCAGCCTTTAATAAAATAGGATGTGCGTTTGGTGTTGGGACAAAAGCACTTTTGTGCGCCTTGTCGACACATAACGTGCAAAGGTGAACAAAACGGAAACGCCGTGTCAGACAAGACTGCTAGGTGATCAAATAGACTGTATTAAAGGTGCTGGAGTGCAGCCATTTTGCAGCAAAGAAAAAACACACCTTCACATATGTTACACTTTCATATAAAGCATTGTTATCATTCACTGATGTATGCCACTATTGATTTTGTGTTCCTCATTTACCCTTGACTTTTTTTTTTTAAATCTCTTTTTCC